ACTGAGGTAAAAACTAACTGCCGTGTTTTACTTTGTTCTTTAAATCCATTGCTTTGGGAATAATGGTAGCCTTTTGGCGAATGTGATGGAATCTTTGCAAGGTTTTCCCAGGCCAGGAAATGCTCAGGGAAAAAATCTTCAAGGTCATGGAAAAATCTGGGAATTTTATTCTGAGTAAGGAAAATTGGCATTGTAACTCCATTGGGATCTCAATGATATTTTTTTCTTATTAAATGAAGTAGACAAATTTGTTGCAAACTTATCATTCTCTTAAGACTGATCAGACTGATTGGAATGGGCTAAAGGCCATATTTCTTGGTGCTAACCAAAAAAATTATTACCTTTGATATGAGAGTATTGGGAGCCCTGGTGTTGGGCCCTTTCAGCATCCCTACAGTATCTCTTTGTATAAGCTAAGTAAAAATATTTGTCAATCATAGTGTGTAAATCAAGACTCCAATATTTCAAATGAGAATTTTTAAGTCTTTGAATAGGGACAAACAGGAAAGGAAAAAAAACATTGAATTAAATATATCTCTGAAAGAATAGAACAATATCACAATGCAGCAGCTAAGAGTATTGAAAGTGAAACACCAATATTATTAATTAAAATAATTTTGTCTTGAGACAGACAAATGAAAATTTTGAATTTTGGACAGAAAAAATTAAAGCCCTCTTTGAGGACTTCTTGAAGCAATAAATTATTTATGTTTTGTGTGTTTAGAATTTCAGTTTTCTCTACTTGATGTTCTGTTTATAGGATATTTTGCACTGGTTTAGGGAGTTCAATGATGAACAAAGGAACATATTAATCAGACGACTTCTGGTGAGCAAATTATGAAACAATTCAATGCAAGCTTAAAATAGCTTAGATTTAATTAACATTAATTGGAACTCAATCAGATAAAGGATGTTGATATACCTTTTACCACAAGACTGTAAATGAGTGTTCATCATGAGTAGTGTTAAAACAATCTATTTTTTGCAGTGTCCTCATGTTGTTGTTTGATGTTTGATGTAATTTTATGCCATAATGTTATAATTTGTACGTAATAATTTGTAGTTGTAGCTTGAATGGCTTTCAGATCTAACATGGCCTGCATTGCAGATGCTACCAACAACCAAAATGAGGAAATTTCCATCTGCGGTGCAGGCTAATCTAACAATGCTAGACAGTTAAATTAGATTTTATTAATTACTTTGTATACATGTGATTTGTAGGTACATTCCATTAACAGCTAATTATACCAGCTTAAAACCAGAGATTATTTAACATAATTCAAATAAAATGTAAGACCTTGTGGATGTTATTTGTCTCACTGTAAATGTTAATCTGTTTATCATAAGGAAGTGATTGGTCCAATTACTTGAATATATTTGTCCACTTTGCCTTGTTATTGTTGTAGTGAATTGGTGTGTGGAATGTTTGTGATAGATTGTATGGCCTGTGAGTGTAATGAGAATTAATTTGAATTGCTAATGTAATTATTGCTAATAACTGTTTCTATCATATGTTAATGTGGCAAATTGGCAATAATGTCAGCTTAACACATGTAGATCAGATTATCATTAAAAATTGACCTACTTTCTCCCATCATAACTTTCATCTGTTTATGACCTGACAGTGTTAATCAGAGATTATTAGTACTAATATTATTTTACTTTGCCCTGTTATTGTTTTCTGGTGTTGTTCTTTTTTACTTGAAAAAATAATTGTGATTTTGGGCCATCGGATTATTTTTATGATATTTCTTGTGAAAGTTTGTATGGCCTGTAATCTGTTTATCATGAACAGTGATAAGTA